TCACCCAAGCTCGTCAGGTAAATGACTTGCTGCCTTCTATCTCTCCTGACCACAATATAACCCCCCCCACTTCGTGGGAGTTAAGTTTTGAAAGCCTGCCTTCCTCATTATGCGTCCAAAGAATTACGACTGTCTTCCAATTCTGAGTAAAAGTGTTCTTTCAGTTGCAATTTCCTTTTAAGACTTCCTTGTTGCTTACTCGCTTCGTCCATTGAATTTTTCAATATCCTTCGGTAGGACTATTTCTGCTGCCCCTAGATTTCCGTGGGGGAATTGTCCAAGATTCACTGCCATATAAAAGAATAGATACTACAAAACAAACCAATTCTCTTTTCTTTGTTTCTAGCAAACTTTTTTCTTTCTGTTTCCCAACGCTTTGCTTAACTTTTGGAATGCTTCTTTCGTTGCTCCAATCCGTGTTCGGATCTCGGTGTCGCATTTTCTATCGTCTGTTAAAACGCGTCCCAAACATTTAAACTTGATATTTATATTTGTAATTCGTAACTAGCATCGGACTTTTTCTCTTGCTGACGGCCATAATTTCTGTTTTCTTGCATAGCCCTCTCTTATAATCAGTACAAGGGCCTCTGAAATCGGAATATCCCTTTCTTCTACCATACTTGAGGTCATGTAGTCTCCGATCAGAGTCAGTGTCGTCTACGTATCTTATATTGCTAAGATTACGCCCACTGATAATAAATTCTGCTAGGGTCTCTACTCCCCTTAAAATGGCGTCGCTGTAAAGTTTGAATAAATCTCGGGAGAAAACATTGTATCACGCCCCACTCTCTCTTTCTTACAGCTACTCCGTTTATTTTCTAGCCATATTTAGGCAACATAGCTTCTGGATTATTCTAACATCTTTTCCAAATAGATCTAGTTTTCCTAGCCGTTCAAATAGATCCTTGTGCTATACCTTGTCAAATGCATTTGCATAATTTATAAAACAAGTGTACATCCTTCTGCATTTGTATTGCTCTCTTTCTCTCTGATATCATTCTAGTCATAAATATCGCATCTTTTGTTCCGGTATCCTTGGCAAAGTCACACTGCTCTTGACCTATTTCCGGTCTAATTCTGCTTCGTGCTCTTTTCATCAGGATTCACATCATTAGTTTAATTATTTGGCTCATTAAACTGATTCTCCTATGGAGTCTGCATTCGTGTACACCTGGTCTCTTAGGTAATGTTACGAAGATGGATTTAGTGAAGTCCTCCGATATGTTGCCATTGTTGTATATTTCGTTTACTACTTCATATCATTTTCAAGATTTTATTTCAAATCGTTTGGCCTCCTCCAAGTCGGGAATAAAACCTGATCGCTTGGAATGTTTGGATGAATGTTTACTGATCATTTTATATTATGCCAAATCCACATCAGCAGCTAGCGACGTATACTTAGTCGCGTGATTCCATGACGAAGTTATTTACCTTTAATCTTGTCGAGCCACCGAATATGAGATGTGTAATTTTTGATTTCGCTAACAATGACCTTTATGGATCCGCTAGGTTACAGAATATATTAAGCCTTGATTTTGAATGTTACTTTGAAGCTAAGTAAGCAACTGTATTAAAAGAATGAAATCAGAAATTTCCTTACTACCTTTCCAAAGTTAAATAAATATTTAGTTAATCTTACTAAATTTCTTTCTCTCAACGTATGCGAATCAATTCTAAACTCTCGCCAATATAGGGCAAGTCCTTTAATTCTCTGGCGGCCTTTGTGAAGGGCCAGAGTTTTGCGGTGTTAAAAAAATAAATAAATAAAAATGAATGATTGTGGTATGGGATGTGATTATAGGTGATTAAGTGGTGGGCCCTTGGTATGGTACTATGATAACAGATCAGACGTCTTTGGTTTGGTTTTGATTTGTTTTACGGCATATCAATACCTCAATGGGTCATTTAATGCCGACAGCATTATTTTTTTTATTTCCGGTAATATTTTTTTTCAAAAATGTATGGCTGGTAATATTTTTTTTTAATGTATTGCTGGTAATAATTTTTTTCTTCAAAATGGATTGCTGGTAATAATTTCTTTTACAAATTACTTATATTAAAACTGATTTTTACACATTCATAGTGTTTTGACCCCAGTTTGGGAGTTAACTATTTTCCCATAACTGGGACCCTAACAGGTGTTACAACTCCGAGTCAGGGTGGACCCGGGAACACCAGCAATTAAGAGGTGATTCCACGCTCCTCAAAACCTCTTGATCAGAGGCCTTGCTGCTGGACGTAGTTTATCGTCTTACCCAGGACACAGATGTAGTTTATCATCATAGACAGAACGGTCAGACGTCTTTGGGCGGCACACGTGCCTTCTTAGTTGAAGAAGTCAAACGCATTAAAAAATGAGGATTTTTTTTTTTATTCGAGAAAATGTTTCATCGCTTTCAGCGACGAAAAGTCTTGAACGTCTGATTAATTTACATTTGAAAGGCGCCAATTTGGCGAAATGGCAGGTTTGTTTGTCAGATTTTAATAAGACTTAAAAAATGATCAAACATTCTAAAAGAGTAAGATTTATGATATCCGATGACCAAGATTCAATATTAGTGATGCTGTGCAGTCACTTTGAAATAAAGAACTACAACAGCACAAAAAACCCAAATAAACAATGCATAAAAGATATTTAAAAGTAGTTTCAGAACGTATATTTTTCATTTTAATGCTTTCATTATAACTTTGTCGTAAATACAATGACAGTTTTTTTTCAATTTTATTGGTTTAAAACAATTTGTCTTTGTAAACAAGGTGGACATTCTGTAATTATAATATTTAAGCTCAAGGTGTTTGCAGGAATTACAACAACCTGGCTAATAACGGGAAAATCCGAAACTCAAGTAAAATTTATATATATATATATATATATATATATATATATATATATATATATATATATGGGATAACGATATATTTTATATATCGAGACAAAATGGAAAAGTGTACTTTTTGACATGTTTCGTCCTTTAGGACTTCATCGAACTAAATGCGTCACAAGTAAACTTTTTTCGCTTCGTCATACAATTTCCCATTATATATATATATATATATATATATAAAATGTAGATGTGTTTTATCCTTTAATCAGAGTGGGATTTTTTATGTCAAAATAGTGGTCAGCTTCGTTACAGTGGGCAACCGGCGCATTTGATGTACTGTTTTGTAAGATGTCTCTTTTGTGTTCATATAAACTTTTAATCCATCTGAGAAAGCTCAAGGAATCTAAATAAAAGATTATATGAACACAAAGGAACTTTTTACAAAACAATACGTTGTTTACCCACCGTAACTACAATTATGACATAAAAATGTGCGTCTGATGAAAGGAGAAAACAGTTCACGATGACGTAAATGCCTCGAGAGTGCTTTGATCACAAGTTCATCTACAATAAATTTGCACTCTGGCTTTTACAATATACATCACTTTAAATGTTATTTTTAATGAATACTCATTTGACGCTCCGTTTACTTTTTAAACAGCATAGTTTCGTCTACCGGACTGAATAATCGAGAAAAAGAAAAAAACGTCCACCGGCAAGATTCGAAATTGTGTAATCCTTTGCCAAAGAAAGCGTCGTTAGATCCGACGTGCTTTATCCACTAAAAAATTGAAGTGATAAAAAATTAAAAAAAAACAAAAACAACAAAATTATCTAAGTCGGAGGGCACATTTTCATTATAAAGGCTTTTATATGTAATTTACACTGTGTATGTATTTGCAATCTTACTAGAAATTTCGGTGAGTGACGAATCTTTTGAAGAGTTTCTTTTGAAATAACGAATATAAACTATTTATTCTCTCGGTGCATTTTTTCTTCCCGCCTCTTCTTTTTGAATTGTCTTCTTATTCTTATTATTCTCTCTTCTACTTACTTTTTAATTCATTTAAAGATCCGTAACAAAATGCATATATTTAACGTTAATACCACACCTGGAACCCCATCGCCCCCTCATGATTCTTTATTTTGTCTTATTTTATTTTTCATTGATTTTCTTATACGCACGCCGACTGGTACATAGGCGCACAAATTCCTTGTTAACATTTAGTGAGGCCGCTCTCATCACTCGTCATACAATATCCGAGTTCTTGCAGTGCCATGGAATGGATGGATATGTGTCCCAGCAAGTACTTCCGCTGGGCAACTCTGAGCCAACACTATACGTCATCAACCAATGGGTTTTTAAAGTTCCTTAGACGATCTTTAGCGATTATAATTTTTGGCCTCTTCCATCTTAAAACACAATGACCAACATAACTAAACCGATTTCAACAGGAGTATGTGTGCAAGTACAGGGCTGGTACACATGGAATAAAATTCCAATAACAAAAAACACTATTCTTAAAAAGAGTGGTCAATACCAAGTAGAGCTATATTATAAATTTGAGTTAATACTCTCACCCTTATATATATATATATATATATATATATATATATATATATATATATATATATATATATATATATGTGTGTGTGTGTGTGTGAACACTTCTTTAAACATTATATTTTACTTGATATACGTGTTTGAGTAGACGCCCTGTTCTTTTTTTTTTTAATACAGTGTGAACAACATCTACCTACCTGTGTATTTCAGATTCTTAATAAAGAAAATGTATCCTTCGGCGTATATATTTAACCTCCCAAATTAATGAAGCCAAACAAATTTATGACACGTTTGTGTGTATTTATGAAAAGAGATTCTAAAATAAATTTTTAAATTCTGATGTTTGCTAAGTCCGTTAGATTTTTGGAAATGTGTTAGAGTATTTAGTATTCATGTGGTCTTTGGGGTTCTATTTTGAATTCTTGCTTCTTGACTTAATCTTGTATCAATTCTATTTGCCTGCCGACCCTTTCTTTCCCCGTTACTTTAACATTTCCAGCGGTTAGCTGAAAGACTTCCCTCTACAAAAGCTGCCACCAAAAATTGGTTTCCTTCCGGAGACTGACAAAAAAAAGAAGAAAAACAACATCGTGATCTAATCTCATGCACAGATGGTCACCGACCGTTCCATTTTAAACTCTCTTATCATTCATCGCTTGCTTCACCAAAACGTTCTTGTTCCTTTTTATTCTCCCTCATTCTTCAACCTTTCCCACTTCCTTACAAACAAGTCTTATCTGCGTACGCCATCCCTACCTGTTTTTCTAACTAGTGTTAATTCTTTCCCGTATTTATTTAACACGCTCTCGCACCCCATCTGTAACTTCTGGTCGACCCGGCGGAGACGAAGAAATGGTGGTAGGCTAAAGTACCTGTTTAGTTCTCAGCTCCGGCACGTCGTCTATTTTGCCTCCTTCCAGATCCTCCTCTATAATTACGTCTCCTTTGGGGAGGCTTATCTGATTGACAACATCTGCCCTACACCAAAAGTGGGACACTGGAATTCGAGTAAAGACGGCCGGTGGTTTTCCTGGAGGGTGGAGGAGGAGGAAGTTATTCATTTACAAAGCTTGGCTTAGTCCAACACCCACTGAAGCTAAGAAAGAAAGAAGCAAAACCAAATTAAAAAAAAAATGTTGACAACCGATTTCTAGACAACCTGAAGATTAAAAGACGTGTACGCACGAGCGTGTGAATGCGATCTGCGAGATGAAGCGTATGCGATCTGCGAGATGAAGCGTATGCGATCTGCGAGATGAAGCGTAGGCAATCATGGCTCTCCACAATTTTCTCTCTTTTGTAGCTCTTAATAAATTGTCTTTTTGTTATCTCTCCTATACCCTGTTCCGCCATTCATTTACTCAAGCTCACCAAGTATACCATGTATTGTTTTCCACTTGCATTTACTCTGCCTCCTGAGTATCATATTTTCCAGGCCCTCTTCTCTCATTATGTGTCCAAGAAATTTCAACTGCTTCTTCCTGATGTTAAGTTTAAGTTACCTTTTTGTTCGCATTTTATCTAAAACTTCGTTTTGCATTTTCGGTTTATGGTATCCTCAGCATCCTTCTGTAGAACTACATCTCCCTTGTTTCGAGTGTCTTCATATTTTAGGAAACTGTTCAGCATTAACTGCCATATAAGAGGGCAGAGATCACGTAACAGTTTAATACTCTATTCTTTGTTTCTTACGAAGCTTTTCTGTATTTTAATAATCTGGCTATCCTAATGTGCCTTCGAATTTCAATATCGCACTTTGTTAGAACTCTTCTCAGATATCTAAATTTTTGTACTTGTTTGATTTTGGAGTTATAACAATTTTAGCGCAGCAGGTAAGAAAATTGAACATAGAATAGACAGCGTCAGTTTTGCCCAACACCGCAAATTGTTGTGTGTATATATATATATATATATATATATATAAACTCAAGAACTAGAGAAATGTTTTTAAATAGCCTCGTCAGATGTAGATTTTCACACAGATGAGATGCAAGACACCCAACCCTTTCAGGAATATTTAAATTCTCAACTATAGATAACCGCTTTCTCCGATCAATGATTAAAAATCGTTTTGAGCGAATGAAGACTAAGTTTTAGAGAGAACCATTCTTTTTCGAAGCACGTAGACAAGCGCTAGAGAATCACAAAGAACTGTACCAAATAACAGAAACCACATCACTTGAGGACTATCAGCAGCAGCAACAACTAAAATGGATAGCACATGTAACTCAAAGAGGAAATGACAAGATGATTCTGTCTACTTTATTTCGAACAAAAGGTTAGGAAGGTAACTCCATCAATACCGGAAGGAGCGATAACAGAGGACTTGCTTGAGAAACTTATATTTTCAATGTGAAGGTCACATCGAAAAGTGAAACTGCCAGTCATCCTGCAGTTTAGATTGCTATGTCCTATCTGTCAATGCCTATAAACACTAACTTCGATATTTTTCTTGCGAATTAGTTTGTTTTTTTTTCCTTTTTGAAGTAGCTTTACTAGTTTTATTTTCTTTTTTTTCAATTTGTTTCAATATAGTTTTTTTCCAATATGTTTCAATATAGTTTTTTTTTCTTTGGAATTTGTTTCAATATAGTTTTTTTTTCTTTGGAATTTGTTTCAAGAGAGTTTTTTTTCTTTGGAATTTGTTTCAAGAGAGTTTTTTTTCTTTGGAATTTGTTTCAAAGAGAGAATTTTTTTTTTTTTCTTTGGAATTTGTTTCAAGAGAGTTTTTTTTTCTTTGGAATTTGTTTCAATATAGTTTTTTTTTCTTTGGAATTTGTTTCAAGAGTTTTTTTTTCTTTGGAATTTGTTTCAAGAGAGTTTTTTTTTCTTTGGAATTTGTTTCAAGAGAGTTTTTTTTTCTTTGGAATTTGTTTCAAGAGAGTTTTTTTTTTCTTTGGAATTTGTTTCAAGAGAGTTTTTTTTTTTGGAATTTGTTTCAAGAGAGTTTTTTTTTCTTTGGAATTTGTTTCAAGAGAGTTTTTTTTTCTTTGGAATTTGTTTCAAGAGAGTTTTTTTTTCTTTGGAATTTGTTTCAAGAGAGTTTTTTTTTCTTTGGAATTTGTTTCAATAGAGTTTTTTTTTCTTTGGAATTTGTTTCAATAGAGTTTTTTTTTCTTTGGAATTTGTTTCAATAGAGTTTTTTTTCTTTTGGATTTGTTTCAATATAGTTTTTTTTTCTTTTGAATGTTTTAATATAGATGTTTTTCTTTTGAATTTGTTTTAATATAGATTTTGAAATATATCAGCAGCTATTTAAACAGATACTGTTCTATTTTGATCTGAATTTGCCACAAGACCACAAAAATAGAACAGCTAGCGAGGATCGAACTCACTACTCCGCGGTAATTATAATGCCTATAAACGCTCTAACTCTGATATGGATGACTTTTCTTTTTTTGAAAGTAGCTTTAAAGATTTCAGACAGATTTTGCTATATTTTAACTCACTACTCTGTGATAATTACATTTTAACGATGTTTGGTTTAATTGGTCGTGGAATAATTGCTTTCATCTAATATCTTTTCATTAGAATTCGAACTTCCTTATCAAAATTTTGCTAATTGTAAAAACCTTTTCGATAATATCACAAGCTAAACAGTCGAAAGATATTCTCTGTACTGTCAAAAGATATTTTCAAACAGAAAAAAATCTTCGACTAATTTTTCCCCTTTTAGAATCAAGGCAACAATATCAGCACTGCTAAAAAAATTTCTTATTATTTTTCTACGAAAAGAAAAAAATGCCTTCTTTTGCGACAGCGAGTATTTTCTTTACAATTTTCTTTTGCGGGGCTGAGCTAAGAAGAACTCTTCGGAAAATCTGTCAAATTTAAATCATACGAGGGAAGCATAAAAAAAAAAAAATTGGATATGCTTAATAACATTTTATGCCACGTTCTGAGATTATATATATATATATTTCTTATCTTACAATACTTGATAAACATGTTTGAAATGCGCTTACTATTTAGCATTGTTGAAATTATCGCTTCCATTTTTTTCAAGATTTACAAGACCTACTCTCCCTACCGTGTCTATACTTACAGTACTACTACTGTATAGTATTATTTTACCAGGTTTATATATATATATATATATATATATATATATATATATAAATAAATAAAACTTAAAAAAGATATGCAAAAAAATAATATTACATAAGTATTTATTTTAATCATTAAATTGTTTAAAAAATAGTGGGAGTATATTTACGTTAAATAAAATTTTAAGTTTTTCAAAACTTTATAAAAATCTATTGTACACCCTAGTAAAAACCTACTGTATTTGTATCCGCTTGCCTGTTTGTACTTCTTAGCAAAAATTGGTTTCAATCGGTCAATGTATGGCTATTTTAGAGGGTGTGACGGACTGACAGAAGTCACAGATTATATATATATATATATATATATATATACACACACCTCAGAACGTGGCATAAAATGTTATTGAGCATATCCAGTTTTTTTTATGCTTCTCTAGTATGATTTAAAATTATGACAGATTTTCCGAAAGGTGGTTCTTAGCACAGCCCCAATAAAGAAAATCGGAAACCATATCATGAAGCTGATTTTCCACTTATTTAACCAGCAGTTCGACATATTTGGAAAAAGTTTCGTAACCTTTCAAGAAATATTTTCTTCCTTTTAGTCATTGAAATACCGAATGTGGAAAGTAAGTCAGGCAAAGAAATTTTCAGTACAAGTTCGGAGATAAAAAAAAAAAAATTCGAAAACAGAAAAACATTTTTCGTTCTTTAACATGAACGTTCTCATAAGAGACATCTTCATATATACGTGAAGAGTTTTCGCATCGGTTCTCTGTTCGAGAGCTTGACAAGTTTTTCTATGTGAATAAAACATTTCTCCAAGATATCTTCTTGATTTTAAATGTTTAGGTCGTTCAAAAACAGATGTACATACGACGATGAAGTTTCAGCCCTTTTACTATATGGCCTCAAAGAGATCATCAAAGCCGGTGTGTATTCCTGTCAGTATTAAAAAACAAAACAGACTTAAAACAGAAACCAATGTAGCTGTTCATGTTTGGGTATGGCTGCATGGGAAACAGTGTGTGAAGCATTTTTGTCAAGATTTTGCAACATATTTAATCAAAGAAGAAGCGTATCTTTTGTTTATTATATATTATATATATATATTTATATATATATATATATATGTGTGTGTGTAACATTGAAATCGACACTCAGAGGCGACAGACTCTTTCAAGTCTGACGCTTGCGTCTAGCATGAACCAGCCTGTTGCCTGAGGGTTGAGTTCAAATGTTCACATTTATATTTACATACGCTCTATCTCTGTTGATATTGAGCACATTATCCATAAATATAGCACACTTTAAAACTAAATATATATTTCTGCATATATATATATATATATATATATATATATATATATATATATATATATATTTATACACACACACTATATATATATATATATATGTGTGTGTCATTTCACACACACACTATATATATATATATATAAATTACACCATGGAGGACTGAGAGAAGGGCAGAAGATGAACGGGATTCAAAAAATAGAAGATGGAGATTGACATTGCATTTTAATTTTTGAAGAATGTAGTTATCAGGAAAGGAAGGAAACGGAAGGGAGTTTCACAGACAGGAAGTGAGAGAAAAGAAACTGTTAGAGTAGAAGTCGCTGTTGCATTTAGATATTTCAACCATAAACGAGTGGGATGCCATTCTATTAACATGCTTGAATATATGTAGTCAGGTCACAAGAAAAAAAAAACGTTAGAGTAGTCGTCATGAAAATATTTGTAGAAAAGTGACTGAAGTTGAGATGCCAAGTCAGGATCGATTATATTACAGATCCTTCTTTGGATTTTGTCAAGAACCTAGAGATAAATAGCAGGGGCAACAGTATTATCTCTCTCTCTCTATATATATATATATATTATATATATATTATATATATATATTATATATATATATATTATATATATATATATATTACAGATGGGTCCAGCATTTATTAGAGCAATCGAAGAACACACATTTTAAGTTTTATTTTAATTCTGGCGGTCCTGAACAA